ATAAAATTTTATAAATGAAAAAGCATTCTTGAAGATTTCATTCTAGTTTTAGTAGAAAGCTAAATGATTAAATTTATTATTTCAAGCAAAATATTCTGGAGTAGTCCAGATAGAAATTATACAGATTGGAATGTCAAATAATTGCACAATTTCTTAAAATTTTCTTAAAAGGAGCCATTTTCTTAATTTTTAAGAATTTTGCAAACAAACACATTTATCGTGTTTTAAGTTCTTTAAAAATTAAATTGTAGATTTGTGACACGTTGAGTAAAATTAGAAAATTTAAAGTTAAATTAATTTAATTTGAAATAAATATTACTTACTTATAGCATAAAAAAACAATATACAAGCATTTCTTAAAGATAGATCCCCTCTTTCTTTGATCTTTATTGATTTATGGAGAAGAAGTTAAGGTGATGACAGCTCTTATGGATGGCAAGAAATGACATATTTACGAAAACTATGAGAACGCATTTTGTTTTTAGTTTTTAACTACCTAGTAATTTTTAAAATTAACATATTTTCAGAAATTATTTAATATTTTATTGACTTTTAGTTAAGTTTTTAAGAAGCTTTATGAAATTTGCATTTCATCTCTAGGTTCTTCAATTTACTACCTTAAACAAAAAATTAATAAATAAATACATAAAATAAAAATATTTAGTGAAATAGCAATTAAGAAAAGTAAAACTTTTTTTTGACATTTTGAAGGGATGATTTGCAAAAACGTTAATGATGAAACAGAACTGCATTAAAAGTTAAATAATTGCAGTGCATCAGACGACACTTAAATCACGTGACCTTTTTAAGCATTATGTCATCTATAGATTCCCATAGGTAGAAATTAGGAACGTTTTTTCACTAAAAAATATTTTTAAAATTATTTTAAAAATATTCAGGTTCAAACGACTGTTATGACCTTTTCAAATTTCGATTCGTAAATTTACTTTTCACTTAACGATATCATCAAATTACATTCTTGAAGGCAATGAAGAATTTTAAACAATTTTTGAACTATTATATTATTATAATTAAAATTTTTAAAAATGAAAAAATTCATGTAAAAATTCATTATTCATCGAAAAAGAAATATTTCTTCAGACAATAATACCCTTAATATAACTTATTTACAAAAGCAATTAAAAACTTTTTAATCAAATAATGTCATAGTTTTATTGCATTTTTTACTTTACAATTCAGAGCAGATTTTCGATGAAACAGGTAACTCTTTTACAAAAAAAATTGATGTTTTACTTTCTCGAAAGAGACCTTTTAACTAATAAAAACATCCCCCACTTAAAAATTCATTTTCTCGAAATTTCATGAAATTATGTAAGTGGGTAAAAAAATATTTTTTTACCAAGCTTTTCTAAAAATAAAAATTTAAAAAATAATTTCATTCATTTCTGAATACGTCCTGAAGTTTTCATTAAAATCCGACAATTATTTGAATTTTGCAAGAATTTCCAAATCAATATTTGTTTTCCTCGGAAAAACCGCAAAATAAAATAAACACTTTTTCAGTAGTTCGCCACTAATAAAAAACAAGATTTTTAACCAAAATTTCGGACGTGTTAGACATAAAAAAATAATTAAAAAATACTTTGGTCTTTCCTCTTAATAATGACATAAAAATTTTGATGATAAAATTTTGTTTTTACTGAGTTTGGGTCCTTTTTTCATCATGCTATACTGTTTTTTACGCGACCTGATGGAGGCACCTATATAAAAGTGTTAATTTTCAAGTAATAAACCCTCGCTATTTATAAAGAGCTTATACTATGTAACTGCACAGAAATGCGTACAAAATAATAAAATATCTAGTCAGAAAGTATGTTTGAACAGTTTGGAACTTTGTATGACTCTTTTTCTCCAACGAGCATACACTTATACACTTCAAATAATATGAGATTTAAACATAAACATGAAGGTTTTCATCTAATTTATTATCATAATTGTTCTTTATAAGAGACGATGAACTAGTTTTCAGGTAAAATTCAGAGTTGTTATTAAAAGCCATAATGTATATGTATTATGTCTGCTCACTCACCCTTACACTTTTTTCACTAATATATATATATATATATATATATATATATATATATATATATATATATATATATATATTTAATATCAAGCTAATAATTACGTGTCTGGCTATGACCTCACTGGCCTTCGTTCATATATACATATATAGATAGATAGATAGATAGTGAAACAAAGACCTGATACCACAGAACAGGAATATATATATATATATATATATATATATATATATATACAAACAGGTTTTAAATCGAGGAACAAGGTTTGGTTGTTTAATTTTAGATTTTTCCAGGTTGTGTATAAATTGTGGCCCACCCGGAAACTCTTCAAATTTCATAAGGATTTCTTTTCTAATTTAAGCAAAAAAATTACGAACTTGAGGTAGTTTCTTCACAAATTTGATGCTGTTGAGCAACAGCTTATACACGCATTCTAAAACAAATAAAGTTTATCAATCGATTTTATTGAAACCTACCTAATTAAATTAGTTTATCGATCTATTTTATTAAAACCTATATATGTATGTATGTATATATAGATAAGGGGAATGAAGTATGACAATGTGTAAAACGTTTTCATGTGACGCGTTTCGTCTTTTAGGGCATCATCAGGCTACCCATGCGCATGAAGGAAAATGCGACACTGGCAATTTTATTATTTTTTAATCTAATATGTTTTGGGCATATAATACAGCCGATTTAATTTAGATTCTTTTTATCTATGTCTCATCTTTTTCCATCATCTTTCCCCTAAAATTATTCTTGATATATATAAAAATTACATATAGTTTCATATATATAAATATATATATATATATACATGTATATATATATATATATATATATATATATGTATATATATATATATATATATATATATATATATATATATATATATATATATATATATAAAAAAAAGAATAGTAAGATATATAATCCAGTGTTCTTATAGATATTTTTATTTTTTTTTTTTTTTTTTTAAAAGTAGTGCTCAATGTAAATTTACAGAGCATTAATATTATAAATTAATTGATTTAAAATATGTTTTTTCCTCTACACAGTTCTAACCATGTTTCAAAAATGGAAGCTAAAAGCCCCGAATTTAATTTTGTAATTATTGTAATTTTGTAATTATTGTAATTTTTCGCTTGAGGATGAAATGGAACTAATGTCTTTAATTTAATTACAAAATTAAATTCGGGGCTTTTTGCTTCCATTTTTGAAAGATGGTTAGAACTGTGTAACGAAAAAACCATATTTTAAATCAATTAATTTATAATATATATATATATATATATATATATATATATATATATATATATTATAATTATTTTTTTTATAAATCATGTTGTAGTTCTGTTTTTTTTTTTGTTTTGTTTTTATTACTGTATGCTATCTTTAACTGAT